ACAATTATTGAAACTAGAAAATGCTTTTATAAGTCTTATCTATTTGAAAAATAAAATGTATTTTAAAAGAAAATGTTATTTAAAAGTTACTTTTTTACGTTTTTTTTTTATTAGATTTTAAATCTAAAGATATTAAAAAACAATTTTAAAATTTAATTATATTTAAAAATTATATTAATATTTTTTTATTTTATTTTTAGAAATATAGTTTGCAGAAATTTTAAAACCTGTTATGCTAATATTATAAGAAAATGAAATGTCAATAGTTTGCATAAGAAAAACTAATATAATTACATATTATAAAAAAGAGCATAGCTAAAGTTGCTAGACAAAACCTAAAAGTTTTGCAAATTATCTAAATAGAAAAAGATAAAATTTAATGAAATTATATTAAAACTTTATTAAAAAATCTGCAAAATTCTAAAAAAGGTAAAACTATATTAAAGTTTATAAAAATGCGAAACTATATCAAAATCTTAATAAAAAAATTAGTAAAACTATAATTTAGATGTTTTGCTAAATTTAAAATGAGTTTAGACAAGCAACTTTAGTTATAACAAACATTTAACTGTAAAGAAGATTAACATTCAGTTTAAATAACTTCAAGAATAATTAAAAAATAAAGAATAACTATTAAAAGTAGCTCTTTATATTTAAAAACTTAATATTAGTATCTATTCAAAATATCTATTACTTAAAAATGAACTTTTTGAATGGTTTAAAGAATCTTGAAATCAATTAAAAGTTGTTTTTTATTACATAGTTTAAATAAAAGCACATCTTTTAGCTAAAATACAATATATTAGTTAGAATATCCTGATATAAAAGATGCAAAATTTTCACAAAAATAGATTGATATTTTATAAACTATCATAATTTAATTAATAAAAGAAAAATAATAGTTACTCAGTGACTTCTAAAAATTATATTTAACAATAAAGTAAAATTTTTATCTTATATTTTATTATTCATTATCTTTAATTGAAAATATGAATAAAATACTAATATTATTTAATTTATTAAATAATATAATAGTTGAATAATAAAATACTAAAACTATTTTAATTTTATTAATTGGATATAAGCATTCAATTTACTGTTATTTTAAGTTGTATGACTGATAAAACAAAATTATTACCTGTAATTATTTTCAAATTATAAATATTTTTCAAGAAGAGTTTTCTAATAAAGTAATTATTTGTGTTAATTCTTAAGGTTAGATGAATGAAAATAATGTCTTAGTAGGTAAAAAATGTTAGACAAGATGTATAAGATGAGATAATAATCCAAAATCTCTTTTAAAATTAGATTCTTTTATTACATATAAAATTGATGTTATAAAATATGATTTAATAAAAAAAAAATACTGATTTAGCTATTATTCTAGATGTGTTAACTTCTTATTTACAACCATTTGACATATCATTAAATAAATTCTTTAAATCTAAGATATTTTTATTTCTTTATTATTTAAATAAATTAATATTAATATTTTTAATAAATAGATGTGACAATATTATAATAATTAGCTATTAAAGAATATACACCATCTGGAAAAATTAAAAGATTATCTTATTTACTTGTTACTAATTGGGTAAAAGAAAGTTAGAATGCTATTTATCCTACCACTGTCATTCATTTAAATGTTATGGCAGTGATGGGTTTCGGATACATTTTTAGATTTTAATAGTTTTGAACAAGATTTTGGACATAAGAAAAAGTGTCTAAAACTTGTCCAAAACCTGTCAAAACTAAAATTGTCCAAAATTGTCTACAATTGATGGAATAAAAGATGGTTTGATTTTTAATTTTAATAAAATTGAAGATATAATTAATCAAGGATGAGGAATCGAAAAAGAGGAGGAACAGGATATTAGAAATGATTTGGAGGATGATGATAGTGAAAATGAAAATGTATATTATGAAAGTAATGAAAATTGTAATATAATTCAAATTGGAATATTTAGTGAAATTATTAATGTTTTCAATAATAAATAATAAAATTTTCTCGTTTCGGTATAAAATACCCGGGTCCTAATATAAGCAATAAATTAAAGTGGGGTATTCAAAAAGGGGGATATCTTATGCAGTGCTAGGAATGAAATTTAAACCAAACCTTCTGCGCCTTAAATTCTTGCATCAATAGATTTTTTTTTTAGTTACTTTCTAAAATGTCTTTACCTTACAAAAAACTTCAAGGATATGAATTTTATCAGAACGTTCTTAATGGAGCAAAATTTTTTTTAGCGCCTATGGTTGATCAGTCAGAATATGCATGGCGTATTTTGTCACGTCGTTACGGTGCTCAAGTTTGCTATACTCCAATGCTTCACGCAAAAATGTTTTGCGATGAAAGTAATAAACAATATCGGTCTGATGTATGGTCTACTGGAATAGACGATCGTCCATTAATAGTTCAGGTAATTTGTAGATAATAATTTTCTAAATTATGTAATTATGTAAGCGTGAATTACTCAAAATTATTATTTTTATTTTTCAAGTTTTGTGCTAATGATGCAGAGGTATTACTCAAAGCTTCCCTAAAAATACAAAATCAATGTGATGCGATCGATCTAAATTTAGGCTGTCCACAACATATCGCCAAGCGTGGACATTATGGATCTTTTTTACAAGATGAATGGGACTTGATTTATAAATTAAGTGAGTTCTTTCTATTGATTTTTATTTTTTTATTTTTTTTATGAGCATGCTGATCATAAATATTTGATATATATATATATATTGTAGTAAATACACTTCATGAAAATCTTTCGATTCCTGTAACAGCTAAAATACGCGTTTTTCCCGAGGTAGAAAAAACAATAAGATATGCAAAAATGATTGAAAGCGCAGGAGCACAATTATTGACAGTGCACGGTCGAGTGCGTCAACAAAAAGGGCACAAAACTGGTTTAGCTGACTGGGAACAAATTCGTCAAGTTAAGTATGTACAGATAATATATATGGTTTGTATTCATTTTCATTTTCATTTTCATATGACAGTAAATAATATGAATTGATCTTTAACTAACGATGAGTTTATATTCTTTATATTATTTCATCGTGCATATCAGGGAAGCTCTCAAAATTCCTGTAATAGCTAACGGAAATATTCTTTACTTTGAAGATATTCAACGATGCTTAGATGCGACTGGCGCTGATGGAGTTATGTCTGCCGAGGGTAATTTATACAATCCGGCTATATTTTCTGGAATTAACCCCCCAGTATGGCAAATGGCAAAAGAATATTTGGAAATTTGTCGGACTGTTCCCACTAAGATTTCATATATTCGGGGACATCTTTTTAAGATTTATAGACCAGCTCTCCCATTTCATGTAGACTTGAGAGAACAATTGGCCAAAGTTAATACTCTTGATGATCTTTGTGCTTTATCGGAAAAATTACAGGAGAGATTAATGGTAGGTTTATACTAGGAGTTTACCGATAAATTGCATTAAAATTCGTTTTTCTTATGAAAATGATTACTTTTATAGAAAACTGCAGAAGAATCAAGTATCGATCCAGAAATTCATAAAGATGAAAGTGGCTTCAAAATATTTCCACACTGGATTTGCCAACCTTGTATGAGACCTCTCATATAAGAAAATGGTAACTCATATATATATATATATATAAAATAGTTTCAAATAACGTTTCGGTATTGTTATTTAGAATAGACAAAAATAGCTCAAATAATAATTTTACATGATGAATCTACGTAGCCTCTTTATAAATCATTAATAAATTAATAAGGTTCAAATATATGCTGATATGATATAATGATGATATGTAAAAACAAAATTTCAAAGAGATCAAATAAAAGACAAAACCTATTAGGTAATTTTCGCCTTTTGACCGCGTCGGATATATTCACGGGAACGTAAATCGGCTTGCCTAGTGGGCTCCGGGACACGATATCGACAACATTTGAGCACAACTTGTATCGAAGTTTCAAGACTTATTCTATGACCAATGGAAACAAAAATGGGGTTTGTAGTGCTATCCAAACTTCGAACGGCCTAGATCATGAAAATTTAGCTAGAACCTAAATTTTAAGATTATACATTCTTTTGATACATACTGCGCCCCAAATCATTCCGGATTGTCCTTGAAGAAGATAAGTATCACCACCTTTTTTTAATTTTTCTCTTGCTGCTTTCTTTACATGTGCCATAGTTAAATTTTCACCATCATCAATTTGTAAAAAATTTTTCCCAACACCAATTGTAGGAACATTCGCAAGCACACCTAAATGGCTTGCAAAACCAAATCTTCTTGGATGTAATATTCCATTACCATCAACGATTATAACTTGAGGAAATATATCAGGGTTTCTTTGCTTTAAAATTTGTAGTAAGTCAAGTAAAGGTGTAACTTCACGAAAGGCCAAGAATCCGGTCATGTAAGGAATCTTTAACTTTACGGACGAGAAATTTTCATAAATCACCTATAAGAGAATGATTGAGGTCGCAATTTCTTGATATTTATTTAAGATAACATAATTTGATTCATACCTCTAAGCTGGGATACTTCAAAACAACCAAAGTTGCAATGGCATCCTCTTCATGATTCTCAATAAAACTAAGATCAACCCCTCCAATATAATTCAATCCCCTGAATTCTACAATGTTCTCGCCATTAACTATCTTTGTAAAGTTTAAAGCATCAGTTTCTATCAATTTTAATTTTAATTCGGATTGCACTCTATTCAAAAATAAAATAAAAAAAAACCTTTTGAATTTCTTTAATGCAAAGTTAGAGATTTAATTTTTTATTTTTTTTAAATTACCTTGCCCATTCTTCCTTTTGCGCTATCGAGGGGTTATTGTTATACTTCTCCATTCATGATAAATTTTTAGAGGATCAATTTGGTTTTTATAGGATTTTTCTCGACTCAGGGTCAGTCAATTAGATAAACAAATGTCACTCGTTTTATCTGCATGACATTCATTTGACGTCTTTGGAATTATCACAAAAACTCTCAAAAACACGTTAAAGAATGGATCCTTCAGACGAAAATAAAGTCACAACCTTGGAAGAGCTGAAACTACTTAAAAATAAGTTACAAATTCGTAGAGACCGCTTTGGAAGGCGTGACAAAGATACTATTAATGAAAGCGAAAGTTCTTTCTTTCGTAATGCTACTTTAAGCGCGGGCTTTAAAAATGAACACTTTTCTCAGGTAGGACCGTCTTCGACGTCAAGTACACGAACCTCTTCCTCTGAATCAAGTTCAAAAGAACCATCGAATATAGAGTATGAAAAACTCGTACGTGATTATTTTACAAATAATTTACATAGTAAATGCACTTTCCCAATAGAAACTTATGAACTTTTGAAAAGGTTAGTAGTCTAGTTCATTATTTTGTATAAGCTCACGTTTGTTATATTGGGGTTTCTAACTTACATTATCAATATAAGGCTTGCCACTTGGCAAAGCGTTCGGGCCATTCCTTTTACAAAAACATCACTATATAACCTCGAGAAAGCGCTAAGGACATTGTCAAATATATGGGGACCTAATGTCATGTTAATTAAAGAAAAACAAATTGGCAAAAGTAAGAAACTAGTGATAGAAAAAGTTGATATTGAGAAATTAGGCGTAATAAATGTTTTTGAAAGGTTCGATTATATGATCTTAAATAAAATTATTCATTTCAAGCCATAAGTTAATCTTTAAATTTTGTGGGTACAATAATATTAGCTCTCTAGAATCGGATGATCCTTCAATGCTTGATAAATCATTACAACTAACAACTTCGGTGAATGGTAATAAAAAACGAAAAATTGAAGACCTTACTGATGATACCGGTAATTTTCGGGTTTATTCGTAGTTCAAAAAATTTTTCAAAATGTAATCATCGTTAATAATGAATCATATTATCATTTGTTAGCTTTAAAGGAAATTAATGAACTACTCGATAAACCTTCATTTAAAGAAGTTGAAGAGAACAAATCACTTTACGAGTTATGCATAATGCTGGATAAAAAGTCATCTAAAGATAAATTGATAATTGAAATGGTAGTAACAGTTGCAATTGTAAACATGTTGCTCTTTTTTTAATAATGCAATATAGATTAACGCGTTTTTTAATTAGTTCCGTTCAACTAATAATTCATTCCGAGAATTTTGTGTATATGGCACGAAAGTTGATTGTAGAAAACAACGGAGAACAAATCGAGCATGTCACAGGGTTAGTAAATTTCATTATCATTGTATAAATGTGAAGCTGCATGATCACCTTTGATTGACATGACGTATAAATAGCTCCATTTCCGGCCAATGCTTCGTTCTCATACAGAATTGGACCTTGGTGATTGTTCCTATTTGAATACTTGTCATCGTATGGATACTTGCAAATACGTTCATTATGAACTTGATGATGATGAGGAACGTTGGACGTACGAAAAGCGGAGGCAAATCCCACCTGCTGTGGCAAGTATCACAAAAATTTTGTTTAAAAGTTTAAGCTTGACGCGTAAATATTTGTAAATTAATTAACAAAGGTAAATTATTCTTGTTTAAAGGTATTTACACCACCTAAAAAAGTCGTGAGTAAATTGTTTTATTTCATTTAAGTACGCTTGCGTTGATTTCGAAAAGGTATTTAACTTTGGTAATTATTAGCTACCACCTCAATGGATAAATTGTGATGTGCGAAAATTCGAATTCTCAATTCTTGGTAAATTTACCGTGATTATGGCAGATCCACCATGGGATATTCACATGACGGTAAGCTGGAAGATTGAATAATTCTAGTGTGATAAGGTAAAACAACGTTATATTTATGTAGCTCCCATATGGAACCATGACTGATGATGAAATGAAAGCTATGGCAATTTCTGATTTGCAAGATGATGGGTTGATATTCTTATGGGTTACGGGAAGAGCAATGGAACTTGGAAGAGAATGCTTGGCTATCTGGGGGTAAAAGATTTGTACATTTTCGTAATTTTGTTTTATTAGGGTTCTCATGATAAGTTCATTTAGATATGATCGTGCTGATGAACTTGTTTGGATCAAGACTAATCAATTGCAGAGACTCATTCGAACAGGACGAACAGGACATTGGTTGAATCATAGCAAAGAACATTGTCTCGTCGGAATCAAAGGCAATCCTGAAGGGTTAAATTGGGGCCTTGATTGTGATGTGTTGGTTGGAGAAGTAAGATTTGCTTAAAACAATTCATCAATTCCTAATTTCTTATTCGCGAAAAAAAAAAAAAAAAAATCTGATTTTTTTTTTTGTTAAAAAATTAACAGGTTCGAGAGACAAGTCGCAAACCAGATGAAGTCTATGGCTTGATCGATCGTTTGGCACCTGGAAAACGTAAATTAGAAATCTTTGGGCGTCAACATAATACTCGCCCCGGATGGATGACGCTTGGTAATCAATTGGATGATGTCCGTTTATATGAGAGTGATGTCTTTGAAAGATTTAATGAACGATATCCGGAAAAACCGTGTCGTCTAACTCAATTACCCGCGGATTACTAACTTTGCATTTGATTTGATTTTCATTTTTTTCGGTTTTAAGTTTCCATTTGACATAATAATAAATTATGATTATAAAAATTTGGCAGGAATTCTTTTAACGTGCGATAGCTTATCGGAAAAAGTAAAACAGAAGTAATATAAATCAATCACTTATGTTAAGGTCAAGAACAATCTTCTGTGTTGTTTCAAAAAAAAAAAAAAAAAAAAAAAAAAATGTAATCCCTTTGGTCGGAGTTACATTTTCATTTAGGCAACGACAACACACCTCATGTGACATCGCGCAGTTTAACGGACTTCTTATGGAGACAACATAGCTAAGATACAATGATGCAAACGATGCGCGAGCCAATCTGTGGATCGATGTAGTTCTTTTATGAAATTCTTCGGGAGGTCAAAACAGTAAAGGATGGGAATTGAAAGGAACCGTATGTCGGATAATAATCGAGGTTGGAAAACAGACTGTCATTGCTATTTCTTTAAATAATCGTTTCCAAAGGATCATGAAGAGCTAGCCTATTTCAAAGACTAAACAGCATGTACAATATATGAAATAAAATTTGAAAAGGAAAGTTGGTTGATTTATGATTTATTTTAAGCCAATTTGGTTTGTCAAGTTATCAAATCTTTTTATTAAAGATTAATTATAAAACTTCATTCTTTGGATTTAACCAACAAAAAAGAAATCCTTCTTTTTCTAATGCACGTTTTAATTTTTCGGCATTTACAAACATAATTGAATCATCATCGTCATCGTCTTCATTCCAAAGTCCTAAAATTGCACCACCCGATCCAGTGAATTTTGCGGCAAAATTATATTCCCTAGCCAATTCAATCATACGTAAATTCATTTGACCTAAAACTTGATCACCAAAAATTTCGCGTCTCAAATCGAAATTTTTATTCATATACTTAGCGAGTTCATTCCGTTTTGAACGGTTATTTTGAATTAAAATTTGACGTGATTGTTCGGCGAATGATGCGAATCGTTTCATCGCATCAATTACTTTTCGATCACCTGCCTCATACCTTTTTCGTACATCATTATGAATTTTATCAGATTCACTAGGATTTGATTCAAAAGCAATCCAAAATCCTTTCGGTAATAAATTAACATCTAACCTTTCATACATTCCAACACCATGTTTTATCATATGATCTTCATCAAAGTCCATAAATATTAACCCTCCATAAACTTGAATGACACGATCTTGTAACCCAGCAGAGATATTTAATTCATCCCTTTCAACGGAAAGAATTAAATTTGCTTGTATAGGTAATGGAATGATTTGATTAGAAACGTCAAAAAAAAGCATTAACGCTTTCCAAAATGCCGATATAATAGCGGAGGAACCCGCCAAACCGACTTGTCTTGGAATATTAGTAATAAAATGAACGGAAAATCCTTGTTGGTTAAGTAAGATATCATTTTTCCAACAATATTCTGAAAATACTTTACAAGTAGCTTGTAATAAACGATTACTTTCATCGTACCCTTTATTTTTAGATATTTCAATTAAAGTATCTATGGAATCAAATGATAAATTACAATCTTTGTTGGAGGAAGGGGAACGGAAATTAATTTTCTTGTATTCTTCAGCTTTATTATCATAGGAATTTGGGGTTAAAGTTAATTCAACAAAAAAATTTGAAATCAAAAGGGAGATGCATTTTCCATTGTACCCATCGGATGGGTTTCCCATAAGACCAATTCTAGCATAAGAACGAGTTGTCAATATGTTATCACGATGTTCAAGTGGTGAGGTCAAATCCATTATTTTTTTTTATTTATTTTAATTATTTCCGACATGATTATAAATCCTTTTTTTTTGTTATGGTCCAATCATCTAATAAAACAAAAGAAACGTGATAATTTTTCCCATTTTTGATCGGAATTTAAATTATATACTTGAATCGACCTAAAAAGTTATGGTTATAGATTAGATACAAGAAATTTTGCATGAAATCAGTTGACAGCAAAGTGATACGATCATCATTCTCGAATATATTCGGTAAGTATATTGTTCAAGTCTATTGTCATCGAGATACTTATAAATATGGCGCATTCATTTGGGAATTTTTCTTTTTCAAAACAAAAAAAAAACAAAAAAAAAAAATAAATAATTAATTAATTAATCATAATAATGACGATTTCTCAACAGCTTCCAATGGAAATTGTAATTGCGATATTATCATTTGTTCCTGCTAAAGCTCTTTATAGATATCGTTGTTTATCAAAAGAATTACAATTTGAAATACACAAGATATTAGTTGAAAGGATTAAGGATAATTTCAAATCGGGAAAGAATTATTTACTGGTAATTTTTTTTAAATGAGATTTGTTCAAGAATTTTGAATTTTTTTTTTTTTATTATCATTGAGAAATTAATGATGATTCTTATAAATTCTTCTCATGAATCATAAGGCTACCATTGAACCTTTAGATACTCATAGTTCAGGACCAACTCACATATTTGATTTAATCTTGTTAGAAATTAATTTAAACACATTAGAGATTAGGTTCAAGATCAACACAAAATTGAATGATAATACATCAAGTCCAAAGATAATAGGTAGAAAATTAGAAGGTACAGGGATCTGGGAAACGACGAGACAAAATGTTGATATAAGTTTAAAATCTTCATGGACACCTTTTAATGTTGATCATTACTCTGCCGAATTAAATAAATTTGCTTCTTTACACGTTTTTTCTCCTATTGATATAAGTCATAAGGCTACTTTTGTTGCTAAAGGTATCGTTACTTTTAATATGGATACCAAACCTGAAACTTTGGTTTGGTGGAAAAAACCTATTGATATTCATAATCAAGCAATTCTAGTTGTTAGAAATACGATCGGTGAATTTGATGTATTTGATTCTATAATTGTTATGGCTTTGGTTGAAGAGGTGGTTATAAAAGCGGGTATTTTATTAACTGCCATGGAAGAAAATTGGAAGAATGCTGTTACAAGTGTTGTCATTGAAGATTTTTATGAATAAAAAAGTCTAAAAAAAAAATATTTGTTTTTTTTAATAGTTACAAGTATACATACAATTTTTTTTGGGATTACATTTGTTTAAATAAATTACAGTTAGAAAATATTATACATGTCTTGTCAACTGATATATATATATATATATATATGTATGATGGATTGAAATTATAAAAAATTATTTTCAAAAAAAATATATAAATAAATAAATAAATAAAAACTATCTAAATTAAATTACTTTGCTATTAAAAAAATTTAATCACCACTCCTAAAACACCTGCTTCTTAAAAGTATTTTTGGGTGATTAAATCTATCTTATAGTTCGTCCGTCACACATACTATAATGACTAAAGAAAATTTATTTATAAAGGAAAAAAGACGCATCATCAAATGATATCCCGTTTAAAAAAAAAAAAAGAAATATAATAAGAAAAATAACAATAATAAAAATTTATACAGTAAATTCAAACGAATAAATGCCCGAATACCCACAATTCTACAAAGATAGAGCATATATACTGCATAATAAAATAAAGAAAAATTACATACCAACTACTTGTCTAAATAAAGTAAGCATTTCAGAAATTACATTACATAGAACGAAAGAAAACTATATACTTTTTTTTTTTTTTGCAAATAATATGTACTAAATAATAAATTCTTGTTTTTCGTCCTTAATTTTAAAATCATTACCAAATTAAAATTTAAGATTAAAGGATCCGAATTAAAAATTAACTCGTCATCAGAATACCCTGATCCCGCAATATATGAATAAATTGACAAAACCTCTATATATATATATAAAATATAAAATAATAAGAATTAAAAAAGAATTTGGGTGTGTAGTCTCTCATTCATTATTGTTGAGCTTGGACTGTGACTTCAACTGAAGACTGTGTGAGCGATTCGGCAACGATTTGTGGCGATGATTGCGCCTGCGCATCACTACCGATAGATGGGGACTGTTGTTGCTGTTGTGATGATTGTTCTTGCGATTGTTGCTGTTGCTGTTGAGTATTTGGTTGTTGCTGTAATAATTGTTGATGCTGTTGTAAGAATGCGAGCATTGGTGCACTTTGCATATTAGAATTACCTGGTGTAGGTGGTGCTGCATTCATCATTGGTGGTGGCATAGCACTAGAAGCTGCGAGCATATAAGGATACGCTGCTGGGCTGAACATCGCGGCTGGATGTCCATACATTCCAGCTGCTACTGCCGCTAATGCCGATGGATGGATGAAAGGTGGGAAAGGACTCATGTGCGGATAAGGTGAAGTAGGTGGAAATGGTGAATGAGGATGAGGAGACATTGGCATATTATTCATAAACATTGGTGTTGGTGGATATGCAGACGAAGGCGTGGATGATACAGATGTGGAAGTTTGTGCAGCTGATGATGAGGATCCTTCGCTTGAAGAAGGATTGATTGAAGATTGAGATCCAAGTTGTTCATGTGGTGAACTATTATTTTCAGGTGATGGAGTTCCTGAAGCAACTTGCTGCAATTGTTGATTTGCAAAAGCAGCTTGTGCTGCTGCATAGTAAGCGGCAGCGGCGGCTAAATCAGGTGGCAAGGGACTAGGGAACACTCCTTGTGGAGGAATACCAACTTGGGAAGGACCAGAATTCAAAGGTGTACTACCAAGAGTTGGATCTCCCACCATACCTAGTTCTTCAAGTAAGCGTTTATATCCTTGTACTTGTTGTACCTTCAATTTCCCCAAAACAAATTTCACTTTTTCGGCTAGCCGTGTCTTTTCAGAAGGATCTACATATGGACTGGCCAATACCTTTTGTACAACACCAACTCCGTGAACTTGATCGCTAAGTACATCTTCTAACACTTGGTCATTTGCGGAGAAAAACAATGACGTAATCGTAAGATCACGTGCATCAGCTTCTTGTCGTTGATTAATAATCTTGAGAACAGTCAACGATGCTAGCTTATGTGTACATAAATGTGCTAAATGAGGGGCAAGACGTGGAGCTAACACACGATAACGACCAGGGAATGAAGAAGTATCAAGCATCCATGTTAATAATAATGCGCCGTTCGGATTAGTAGATAGCGGTACAGCATTCATGACAATGGCAATTGCTACTTGTTTCTGTAAAAAACAAAAATTAAGAAAACAATATTAGTATCCTTCAAAATTAAATAAAATACTTTAATTATGACATCTTACCTGTTGCTTTTTGGTTACATGTTGACTTTCTAAACAGGCTCTCATTGCACGGGCACCAAAACGGCCTTGTGCTATTTCCCAACATCGATCGACCATTGCATCGAAAATGAATTGATTACGTTGAGCGGTAAGGCGTAAGCAACATTGTACTACATAATTTCCAAATTGATCCAAAAGGAGCGGAGGAGTGTATGACTTAACATTAGCAGTAATGAGTTGCATCTAAAGGAAAATGAATAATAAATGAATAATAAGTATTTTATGACTAAACTATAATAAAATATTTAGAAGTTTGCATACTTGAGCAGGAGTTTTAGCGCAATCAATGATCTTTTGTGCAGCCCAAGTACCGTTCTTGTGAATACCAATGGTAGCCAAGTGAGGAGCGATTTTTTCTAACATTTTAGTCTTTGTATTCTCAGTACATCGTTCAAATAATTTTTGAATAACAGTGTTTCCAATGTAATCTATATAATTAATAACAAATTAATATATACAAATTCTGTAAACGGGGAAAAAAAATATATAATATCTTGATTTAGTTATTACCGCTTGATAATTCAACACATTCATCTAGAACTTCAGCAGCGATAGCTTCGACTTCCTTAGCAGCACAATGTCCGCTGTCTAAACGTTTTCGAATTTCTCTTAACCTAGAAGCATCTGGTTTGCGGTTTGGATTAGGATCTCCAACAGGTGGGATAGAGGTGAAATATGTTGTAGGAGGACGATTTTCTAAAAAAAAAAGGAGAGTGTAACTTAGTATTAAAGTATCGTTAATATATTAAATTGAAATAACTGTTAACTAACCATTCACGTCGTCAATGTCGTCATCAACACCGCCGCTTAATTCACGCATCATCAATTGTTTCTCGGTAAGACCATTTGCGGTATTATTCGCTGTACCTGCAATCATCATCCTCATCATATTATTATGATAATTTTCAACAGGTCCGTTCCATTGACCCGAATTTTGGTTATTAGAAGAGGATGAAGAAGACGAAAGATTTCTAATATGACGCATAGCCGGAGACCCTGGTTCGGGAGTCGATGTAGGTGAGGGTTTTGGTTGTACCTTAGCAAAACCAATTCTAACAGGACCAACAGCACTTCCAAGAACCTCTTTACCATGCAAAGCTTTCTTAGCTTTGACAGCATCATCCAATTTCTCGAAATTCACAAAACCACAATTCTTATGCGTAAGGACCCTGGCTGATTCAATAGCACCAAATGGTGAAAAAATATTTTGTAAGGTCTGAGGTGTTGTGGAAGTGGGAATATTTCCAACCCAAAGGGCCCGTGTGGGTTGAAGCTGGGTTTGAGAAGAAGGTGATAGGTCATGATTGTTCAATGCGTCAGCCTTGCCATAACCGACACGAACAATACAATTTCCGACACGACCTCCCATTCTATTCATAATATCATCTTTAGCTCTGACAGCATCCTCAACACGAACAAAATTAACAAAACCACACTCTTTGTCAGGTAAAAGTCTAAGACTTTCAATGGACCCATATGGTGAAAAAAGTTGCATAAGGTCCTGGGTGCTAAGATTTGGATCAATATTTCCAATCCATAAAGAACGAGTTGGTGTCTGTGGTGGAGGAGTACCTTGTTGAGAATGATCAGAAGTATGATCACGCGGGGTAGAAACACCAGATCGTGGCAACTTTTTTTTATTGTTGGGAAAGTTTAAAATGTTAACGATTTAAATTTAAGTAAAGAATTACGAAAATTTAATATCATACCTCCATATCATCATGATCCACTATCAAATAATCATCATCGATGTGGATTGCTTGTTGTTGCTTCTTTTTACCTTCCATAGCGCCAACGAGCATCATTCCCAACAATTGTTCACCCCCAAGAGATCTAGATGAGCTTGTAGTTCCCACACCTTTATTGGAATCAGATAAATCATTGTACATTTGACTGTTTCTACTTTGACGCATCATCATAATATCATTAGGCAAATCTAAAATTCCCAAACTAATGGCGCGAGGTCTGGAATGCGTTTGATGGAATTGTTGAACTGCAGCAGAACCCGGAGGAAATAAATTATTTGTGGTCATTGTAGTGGTAACAGGTGGTTCATCATATTTTGCGGTTGCAGAAACAGAATAAGAACGTATTCTGTTTGCATCCCTACGAAGAGCAGGAATATTTGGAATACTACCACCAGAAGAAGTATAAGAAGGAGCAGAATTTTTCATTTCAACTTTAATTTGCGGAAGGTTACCAGAACTTGTAGAAATTTTTGACAGTCCTGAACCACCACCATGTTCATGATCATCTAAACCTAAATAATCTAAGGTTTTACCAACAGTGTTATTTTCATCACCACGAAGCAAATCACCCGTAGTAGGAGTTTGCATAGGTGGAGTTGGGGGACCGTTCGACTCACTTCGATGATCTGACCAACCAGAAGTAAAAATAGATGGTCCAAACGCAGCAGAAAGAGATGAAGATGGTAATGTAAGTGACCCTGAACGAAGACGAGAATTGGCTTTAGGAGGAGTAAGTAAATTCGTGGCAGACGAAGGATTCATGGATGAATTAGAAATTGACAAAGAGGAAGAGGGATTATGCCCATGAAGAATAGGAGGACGTGACAAAGAAGAAGGTAAAGTATCTGCACGAGTCCGACGAAAAGAAGAAGGATAAGAAGAAAGATGGTCTTGACCACTACCATTTGAGGTAGAAGCTTTAGTACCAACTGACTTCAAATTTAAAAATTCAAGGGATGCACTAGCAGCAGAATCTGAAAGGAGGGTTCCATTATTAAAAGCACCATTTGTAGAGAACGACGGAGGAGGAAGAG